AATTAATGGTTATGTTAGGCCAACTTTACATTTATCAGTGTGTAGTGAAGCTTTCATGAGGAATGACAGCTGTCTCTTCCTTTAAGGATTAGAGGCCTAAAAGGGCACTTTGGGAAGCAGGCTGTAGTTGTAGTTTGGTGGGTGATCCAAGATTCAGCAGCAGGTGGGGGCGGGAGGAAATGTGCAAGCTGTTTGGTATGGATTTTATTTTAAGTCTAAATAAAACTCTAGTTTTAAAACCATCCTTGGTCTGGGAGTGTAACAGTTTGCCTAAATCAAGACCAAGTGTGGAATAAAGTAACGATCATCCCCCATGAGGGTGATTAAATAATGTGATAAGCCCAAAAGGCATAGACTAATGCATAATAGGATGAGAATGAATATAGGCTCAATATTAGTATAAGCTTGTTTCTGAGGAAAAAAAAAATAAAAAAGGACTGTAAAATAATCTCCCAAGAGAAGTGGCAGAGAGTTGAAGGCTCAGTGCATTACTCATTTCACACATTTTGTCTATTTTTGTGTTATAGAGTAGGGATCATTCCTACAGACAGGAACTAATGTAACGTAGTTTCCATATCATCCGTCTAAAAATGTATTTTCCCCTATGTTTGATTGTGATGCTATGGCATGTTTGCACTGCAGTGATTTGAATCAGGCTTACTGGAAATCTAGTGACAGAAAAAACAATCTATAAGTTGTTGTCAAGAAACAGGCAGTCTTATCACAAATCTAGTCCTCCATAGTTTGATGATATAAAATGCCATGTTATCTGAGTAATGTAATATCTGTGTTAGATATACTTTGTCTGGCACCCTGCTCCCCAGCTTTCAGAAATAAGAGAGAACTTCGCCCAGCAAAGGCACAGATTGTCAAGTAAACTATTGATGGAAGCACACAGATACCCGCTTAATTCCTCTTGTCTAGAACTACTTTGGAACAGATTAAGATGACATGTACTATACCCTATGTATACGCTTAGTTGGAGCCTGTTGCAGAATGTGTCACACCTGGCTCAATTTCACTATAAAAGGTAGCATTATAGTTAAAACAATGTCTACTAGGGCAACCCTTAAAGCAAGGTAGGAGGCTGAAGAGGCAAATAAAATTATCAGAGACCGAGACTCTGTTCGCAGGAAAGTAGGCGTTAAATACATATGTATTTTATTTAGAACTTCAGTCCTGAACTATATCCACTTTACCACTGCAACCCAAGGCCCCTCATCTGCAGGTAGAAATGCCAGTTGGGAAAGTATTGCCTAATGTTGGGGACACTCACTCTAGAGAGTTGGTGAAAACAAAACATCTGACCCTGTTAAGTGGCAGAGAGCTGCCATGCTATCGAAGTGCCAACTTTACTCATTGCAAGATTATGCTCTTTTTCTTCCTTTACTAAAGAGATCAGAAAGTCTAAAGCAGCAAAAATATAAACCTGCAGTCTAGTGTGAATCAGTTTAAACAAGTTTACACATTCTCACGGAGGAACCCCTCTCACACACACTAGTATGATATATTAGCCTCACCCACTGCAAATCTTTTTCTGTCACTAGAGGTCACTATTTGAGGGGAAAGACTCAATATGCACAACTCAGTCAAGAATTTGACAAATGGAATAACCCATTTTGGTTGGTCTTTCCTGTTTATACAGACCACTTTAAGATAAGTAGGGCCATGGTTCTTTTTTTTAAGAAACTGAAAGGTTTTTTTAATTGAATTAGTGATTTGATTTGTTCTACAGCTTTGAGATTTTTGAAAGATTAAATTAACAAAATACTGTTTATGAAAAGTATATTGTGCTTTATTTCAGCTTCTTTTAGAATTTCTAGAGCAGCCAAGACAAACTATTCAAGGGTTAAATATTTAAGATGAATAAAGCCTAGAGTGACAAAAATTGCAAAGGACCATAGGTCAAAATTAGCTAATACATCACAATGGAGACAGCTGTGCAAGAAGTTAAGTTAAAAATTGGAAAAGGTTAGATTACTTAAAACCCACTTTCAACTTTCTCTCCCCTTTCCTATATCTGTAATTTGGTTTAAGATTGCAAGATCTTCAGAGCAGGGCTTAACTCTTTCCTACTTATGTGTATGGTGACTAGAAAAACATTGGATGGTCAGACCTTGATGCTGCATCATGGAACTATACAGAAACAGGAGTAAGGCCTATGTGTTAGTTATTGGGGTAGAGGATTGACAAAAACAGCCTAAGTACTTGTGCAAAAGAATTAAAAGCCTGAACCTTTGAAGCAGCATAACTCCTTTTAACATTAAAAACTGGTATGTTGGTTACTATAGCCTTATGGCTCCTAGTTTTATATCATGCACGGCTTTGATAGATAAGATAGTGGTTTAAGGTGGGTCAAAGACAAGATGATAGAGAGAAATTAGGCAAAGGAAGGGTAGAAGTGTCTCTAAGATGTTTCAATTTTGAAAGTTTTCAAGAGACAAGCATGTGGGCTTTGTGTATGTATGGGTACTTTTTACACATAAGTAGAATATACACAGCCAAGCCACAGTTTTGCTAGCACTTTAAGTTCCTCAATCGCACAATTGCATATATTCAGTTGACCAAAGTTACAGATGGACTGTAGTTTAATCCATCTAATGTGTAGTAACAGTAAAATGTGGATATGCCTTAAGTGTGCAAATGCAATTTAATTTTTTAAATGCTGCTAACTTA